GTACTTTATGAGTGTTAGATTTTATTAACAAGTCTTGTAATTTTGTGTTAAATACATTCGATTGTCCCCACCGGTGTTCTGTTCACTACAGTAGTAATAATAACTATAATAAGATACGTTTCTTTTCTATGAAAGATATCTTTGATAATTATGTCAATAACTTTTACCGATTTTTTCATAACGGAAGTTCATTTGCACGTATGTCACTTATTGTTTATTTTATGTATCCATGTACACCAGTGCTTATATTGCGATTGATATGTATTCATATGCTGCTATAAAAACATTTTTTATTTATTCAAATATTTATGTATCTCTATGTGTATGTCTAAATACTTATTGTAGGCAAGAAGGTACGAATGTATGTACATGTATTTGTTGTTCCCCAGCTTACCTAAGTCCTTCCTGATTTAATCCAGCTTCGTTATTGCGTATGTTTGTTGTCTCAGCAAATAAACTTGTGTTCACTGAGGATAGTAGGGTTTTGGAAGCAAACGATGACAAAATTACTTTGCTCGACACTCAAAGCCATGTGTATACACTTCGAGGCCCTCTATATCAGTGCCCAAATATAGCTTAACCAACTATTAGAGTCAAGTTACCTATATCATCACTTATGAAAGACTTCTAATAAAGTCTAGGTATTCTTAGAAAATTTTGACAGAAGGTATTTACTCCTGAAGACAAAATACTTCATATCTAATCAAGAACAAATGAACACAGTTAACTCATTACCAACTAGCTGAAAAACACTATTCCATTAAGGTTTGTGGCTCAGTAATATGGAGGGTGACCAAAAGGTAATCATAAACTGGAAATCTTTAAAGCATTGACTATCTTTCGGTCAATAAAATACTCTTTATATGAACTACTTTTATAGTAGTGATCAGAAGAAAAATAAGTGGAGATTTCTCAATAGGTTATAATTATTTAGATTGATATCATGTATAGATCAACGTTAGACTACCATTGAAAACATGGAAGAAGCACTGGACAGTCGTTTCCTCCCAGTGTGTGACTCTTAAACAGTGCTCATCCACGATCCCACACGCGGGACTCAAACCCAGGAACTTCGGTCTAGCGCGTGAACGCTTAGCCTCTAGACCACTGAGCAGGCATCGAATTGTGTTAATGTTTAACCTCAATCAATCCACGATATTGCGCGACTGTCTACCATTATCTTCAGTGAGTTGCTATCTCACAACACACTCGGTTGAACTTCACTAGTTACAGCTTTTTTAATTGTTTACCGTAATCTAGAAAAAATATTTTATTCACATTTACCAGAAAAATGCAACTGTTTAAGTTGAATTCCAGATAGGTGGTTGAGAATTATTGATAGTCAGCACTCATAAATTTCGCTAATAATGTACTCTCCTATATTTGGCATTATTCAGAAAACTATAAACAGGATACTAACAAGTTCGTCTAAATTAGTAGTTTTTAGATTAAATAAGTGATTATAGTAAATCTTAATTCTTTGGCTAACGGGTACATATCTAAAGCAATAACATATAGCAAATATCTTTTACAATAAAAATATCAAAATAATAATAAACTATAAAGTGAGGAAAGTAGCCGAAACATTCCATATTATTTCAACAGTTGAGATCATGAGTCAATTGAAGCTAGACCACCATGGAAAACCTGGAAGCACTCGACGGTCGTTTCGTTCTATTGTGGGACTCCTCAGGAGTGAGCATCCACAACCCCTCCCCGCGGGATCCGAACCCGGGACCTATCGGTCTCGCTCCGGGCGCTTAACCAACTAGACCACTGAACCGGCATCCTCTTGCACATAATAAGAAAGAAGGCCAGAATATTAATCCAAGCTGAACTATTTGTCCAAACAACAACATCTGATCTTATTTTTTACACAATCCATGCATACATACACACACCCAGTTTCAACCACATTACTTAATTTTACAAATGCATACATTTTTCATACCCACACTCTGACATACAAATTATTACAGTGACAGGTCATACGAATTCACCTTGACCAAGAATAACTTGACATTAACATATTCGGACCTATTATGATTTTGATTGAACCAAAAATATTCTGCATTGTTTCCTTTGTACCAGTTACACTTGTGTCAACTTAGCTCGGTTATTTATTTACTCTGAAGAAGTGGCTTACATTAAGTGACGAAACGTCAGAAATACGATTTTTCTACTCATCGGGATGTAAAAAAAATATATTTATTATTAATTTTCCACCCAATGGTCAATTTATTTAAAACTATCAAGTCCAACCATGGCACTGATACCTATGAATATCTAATATATTGTATATTTAACATTTTTAAGTGACCTTGTGAATGGTATGCTTGACTACCACTTAAAAGAGAACTGTTCGCTTTTAAATTTATATGTAACTCTAAAACTAAATATAATTTATTAAGCGTCTCCAATCGTTTCTGATTTAACACTATTGAATAGAAAGTCTGAGAATGTTTAGGTACTACAACGAAATATCTGACTAATATGTTTTCGGAATCGTTTTACTTTCATCAAGACCATGATGTTTACTTAATAATGACTTAAACTTATTAAATATTGTCTAAATCGGTCTGAGAAGTTGTGCAATAACATTGGAACGTACATACGTTCTAATTGATTGACATGGATACAACAGATCTAATATGTAAAACTATTTATATGCTTACTATTTCTAGATCTTTTGGTACCATCTAAAGTTACTTTAAAATCGATCCACAATTAATTATGAGTTCATAAAATTAACACTGATAGAACATTTCAGCTAAAAACAAGATTAAAAGTTGAATCTAGTCACATGGCATGTGATACACGTTAACTGGTAGAAATGAATGAATATTGCGTAGGCTGTTGAAAGTAGCCCGACAAGCTGAAAATATGAAACCCTATGGCATAGATTGATAATCAAGTTTGTACATTTGTACTGCGAATTTATTTATTTATTATTATCAGAATCGGGGGGTTTCCGTAGATTGTAGTAATCTCAATAAAACTATCAAAATTACTGCATTTTCCATAAACCCCCCATCCGAATAATAATCATCAGATGTATATTAGTGACTAGCTTCAAATGTATTTCTTGGAGTCATAATGAGAAGCTGTGATCAGTGGAGTCCAATCCGTGTTGGGTAAAAACATGTATCTACCTCAGACAATGAATGAAGGGTCGCGCAAGATCATGGATCGATTGAAGCTAGATATTAACACCGTTGGATGCCGGCTCAGTGGTCTAGAGGCTAAGCGTTCGTGCGCGAGACCGAAGGTGTTGAGTTCGAGTCCCTCATGAGGATTGTGGATGCTCACTGCTGAGGAGTCTCATATAGGACGGAACGGTCGTCCACTGCTTCCATGTTTCCAACGGTGGTCTAGCTTAAACCGACTCATGAATTCAACTATTAAAATTACTACAATCTCCTTAAACCCCCATTCTGATAACAAATCTTTAAGCCGAGAATGAAGTGGTATATATATAGTAGTTACGTGAACTATGAACTCGAGCAAAATGACAATATATATAACCACCCTTCAAAGCTTTCTCTGTGTTACATAGGTGTTTGCAAAAGTGAGGTTATCAGTTATTATGTGAAAAAAGTGCAGCAGCAGAGTTAGTAGCTTCATTTGAAGTCATCAACTATAACCTAATGTGGCAGAAATCAAATTAGCTCCCAGCTGAGGAGGAAATTATGAAAAGACTCTGGAAGTGGATAGTACAATATTGCGGAAATTATCAAACTACACCGAAGATAAACCCTAAATTGGAATCGTCAAGGTGAAAGGAAGAGAAGCAGACCAGGGAACACATTGGGTCAGGAATCGGTGACAGATATCAAAAGATAGTAACATTTAGGAAAGGAGATCAGAGGACGGGATTGGACTGAGATCTCTGTTCGGCGACCTATGCTCCAGTGATTGGGTAAATATGACAGAAGTAACAGCAATAAACATGACATCATTTAGTCATATTTAAATTCTGATGTTTACTAATAAAATAAATCATAGATCGCAACAATTCAATTCTAAAACAGCCGACAAAATGTAAATCTACTTTTAATTCACTGTAGATAAATATTACCAGTTTATCCACTCAAAACAGTTTACTGGATCATAAATCTGTAAATCATGTAAATTTTGAATGCTTATTGAATTTTTATTAATTGATAAATGAGATGCGATCCTTAAATCTAAAAGTTTTCGTCAGAAAGAGAATAATCCTAAACGTTATTTTTAATTAACACTGTGAAATTCTTTATTGGCAGACTCGATTGTAGACCAAAAAACAGACATGCCAAATATAGGAGTAGCAGATCAAATTTATGTGTACATCCTTACAAAAACTCAATTCGGGGAATGCATACGCGATAAAATCTAAATGTTTTTGTGGAGAAACTCACTCCAAGTAAAATCTCATTTCCAGAATAACAAAATTAACTTGGAGGATTTCTATTCCAGCAGGGAAAGATTAGAACGGTTTTAAAGACTTTCCATTATGATGTCGCAATAGACTGTATCCTCACATTATTAAAAGTCATGAGGATTGTTATCAAGTCTGATCTGGTTTCATTATTACTGTCGATTTAATTCACTACAGCCTAAACTATAGATAAGTTAATTCATGGGTTATTAATATACATTACATTTTGTTTCTAACTGTTTCGCTAACAGCACCACTCAAATTATGAAGGATGACCCCTAAGCTAACTAACCTGTGATTAAGATTACCTTGAAAGTCTAATGAGATCCATCTATTTGTGGTCATCAACGGTGTTAGTTTTTTGAGTGACCACCTACCATAAATAACTCAGTCGTAAAGTTTATCGCGTAAATTTTTTACACAGCCAAAATATAGAGTTGCAAAACATGACTTACTGGCTGCAAAATATGTGAATAACTCTTCAGTCAACTCTAATCACCTACAACTTAATACCGACCAGCTTTGAAAAGTACACATCACAAACACAGAAGTCGACGAAATGAATAATGAACAGCGACTAGTGCTTCAGCACTATGTATATTTCAATAAATTTCACTATCGTCCTTATTGTCAAAGACAAAAAACCGATGTAAATGCATCAAATTAGAGATCACCTAAGATCTTTAAAGTATTCAGATCAAAATTACAAAAACATGGTCTCCTATTTCATGAAGCTTAACTCAAGAAACGCAAAAAACATGGAGAACAAGTAAAAAGGTGGGTCAAAGGCAAATTTATTTCAGGGTTTTATTGCACGACAAGATCGAGAATAAATATTACATTATTTACTTCATAATATAACTTAGAAGCATTTACGGTGAACAATACCAGGACCAGATTCATCATATTCTTGTTTGGAAATCCACATCTGTTGGAACGTAGACAATGAGGCCAAAATAGAACCACCAATCCAAACGGAATATTTTCGCTCAGGTGGAGCAACTATCTTGATCTTCATTGTGCTCGGCGCCAATGCAGTGATCTCTTTCTGCATACGATCAGCAATACCTGGGAACATTGTCGTACCACCTGACAACACAGTGTTCGCGTACAGATCTTTACGGATGTCCACATCACACTTCATTATTGAGTTGAATGTGGTCTCATGAACACCAGCAGATTCCATACCCAAGAAACTTGGTTGGAACAACGCCTCAGGACAACGGAATCGTTCGTTACCGATCGTGATCACCTGACCATCAGGCAGTTCGTAACTCTTCTCCAGAGATGAGCTGGACGCGGCAGTGGCCATTTCCTGTTCAAAGTCAAGAGCCACATAACACAGTTTCTCCTTGATGTCACGCACGATTTCTCGCTCGGCTGTGGTCGTGAAGCTGTAACCACGTTCCGTCAAAATCTTCATCAAGTAGTCAGTCAAGTCACGACCAGCCAGATCCAGACGCAGGATAGCATGTGGTAGGGCATAACCTTCGTAGATCGGAACAGTGTGTGTCACACCATCACCAGAGTCCAACACAATACCAGTTGTACGACCCGATGCGTACAGTGACAGTACAGCTTGAATGCCCACGTACATGGCTGGTGTGTTGAATGTCTCAAACATGATTTGGGTCATCTTCTCACGATTGGCTTTCGGATTCAATGGAGCCTCGGTCAACAGGACCGGGTGTTCTTCTGGAGCCACACGCAATTCATTGTAGAATGTGTGATGCCAGATCTTCTCCATGTCATCCCAGTTCGTCACAATGCCGTGTTCGATTGGGTATTTCAGTGTGAGAATACCACGTTTCGATTGTGCTTCATCACCAACGTAGCTGTCTTTTTGACCCATACCGACCATCACACCCTGAGATATAAGGACAGATAAAGAAAGAGAGAGAGAAATAGAGAGAAATAAGCATTCAAATCAAGCTTCAAATGATATTTCATTGTCGAATACAGTCGGCATATACCAACAACAACAACAATAACAACAATGTATGATTAGAGTGATTGTGATAAGTGTTTCACAGTGAAGTAAGACGGATGGATATCTCGATATCTTATCACTGTGTTGTAGGTATCACAGCTATTCTAACCGAGACATTGTTAAATACAATGCCATCAACTTAAAATGATAATATGACTGTAATGTGATAATAGATTAATACAATAAAATGAGAAATTGATTTGTTGAATGAATGTTATGACTATGCTTACTTGATGTCGAGGTCGTCCAACGATGGAGGGGAACACTGCTCTTGGCGCGTCATCACCAGCGAATCCAGCTTTGCACATCCCTGATCCATTGTCAACAACAAGGGCTTGAACTTCTTCGTCGGCCATGATTATATCCCAACTTCAACTGTCGTGCAAATGAACAATTCAGTATGATAACTTTACAATAATCTACTACAATTTATTCATTTTTATTTTTAACTTATATCCATTTATGGTGATTGAGGCCATATACTACCGAATAAGACTTTTTATTGGTGCATACCCAATTTTACAATTATCACCATTGATATATATGAAAGTTCCTGTGTGTGTGTGTATGTATGTGTGTATGTATGTATGTATATATATGTTCATCTCTAATTTCATTCTAGTCAGATTCATTTCAGTTATTACTAGCAGAATTTTGTGCCCTTTTCATTGATTTGTATGTGCGTATCTAGTGGGGAGACATGAATACGCATCTATCCATATATGCAGAATTCGAGAAATTGTTTTAAAATGAATTTCTGCCATAATTTAAACACAAAATAGTTTACTTATCAAAGGTCAAAAATATCCGAATGAATGCTAGAAAACATAGTCGATATACTGAAGTTATTTCCAAAATAATAACTGTTTGTTTCGCATAGTTAGTAATATGATCTAAGAAATACTGACATAATCACGTATACAGTATGATGAATAATACTTAAGCATTTAAAAACGTGAATCATAATTTTAGATTATATTGTAGCGTGGCGTCGAGTTGAGATCAACTGTGAACACCGCTACCAAGAAACACGTGCCAAATAGATCAGAAGGCGTAAGAAGCTCGTTCCAAATGACTCCATAAAATCCCCGAGAAGCCGAATACCAGAAGGCAATTAATGGACCAAGTCGATGTTTATTTGCTGGCGATCTCGTGGCATCGAAAGGATACCGAGATCGTGCCAGGATACAAGCTTGGTTACAGAAGGTAACCGAATTCGCGCGAAGTTACAATCGAAGTGTAAGTAAAAGAATGGAAGCACAAAATAGCTATCATTAGCACAGTCAAACAAAAGCACGTTAAAACAAACACTGGTACAGTTGGTTTTAATAATAATTGTTTTTATTAAACCAGTCGTGTTCTCGTGATAAACGTGAGTCACTACAATATCTTTCTGTGAATGAAAGAAATGGTAATTGACATTAGGGTTGAATTCATTACAAGCGTTTCTTTTCTCTAACATAAACCTTGATAAAGGGAAGTTTTGATATTGAAAAAAACTTAGTTTTCCAACAGTAACTCATAAGCTATAATACAAGATAATGTAGTATAACAAATAGATTATCCAGTTGTAAAAGTGATCTATTTGTAAGAACCCTAAAAATGTATATTTTTTGTAATGTTTGGTGTCAAGAGAGTTAAAGAGAGAGAGTTAAATTCATTTTGTATTGTTTGTTTGTATCTTACCGTCGATGTTTAGGACTACAACTGATTAGTCACTTATTGGCATTTATGCATCGTGCACGAATTGCCTCAATATTGCTTTAAGTCACAAATATTATAAGCAAAGATGAATGGTGGCTAGCAGTGGAATCCAGAACGCACGTTTCGTCCTGTTAAGGGCTCGTCAGCTGGATATCCCTGAATTCCAGAGTTGCTGTGTCACTCCGGAACAAAGAGTTTTTGTTAGAATGATTATTAGTCTTGAAGTATTCTTACTTTTGTACTCGTGAACATATAACTTAACTGCTGAAGAATGCATTTTTGCTTGTTTGTTTCTCTAGTGATTGAATGATTTTGGATATTCTTTCTGCTTTGAACTGTACTCTGTATCATGGCCTGGTTATTATTCCAAGTGTGATTAGTTGTACTAAATAAACTGTTTCATGAACCTTTTTGATGTTATACTACCTGAAATAAGTTGAACTGATAGTGCCTGGGTTATTAAATGTGTCATGCTTATCATCACATTATTTATTCAGTGATATCTATTTACAAATGTATTTCAGTTCATCAAATAATACCCCATAGGTTTAATGCCATATATGATTTTATTACATCACTTTCGACTTCATTGACTTTATAGATAATAGCTTTTCGATTGAGATCATGAATTGAGAGACTGAAGGTCCTGAGTTCGAATCCCACGTGAGGGATTGTGCATGCGCACTACTGAGGAGTCTCATATTAGGACGAAGCGGCCATCCAGTGCTTCCAGATTTTGAATGATGGTCTAAAATCCATCTTTATCGATTTATGATCTCAATCGAAATCTTAACAATCTCCGCAACCCCATACTGATAATAACTTTTCATAGGAGTTTCAAAAAATCAACCATCATGAAGAAACCAGCTAGTGATCACATGATTATTATTCAATCAAGAAATAGAAAATAATAAAGATACTGACAATATTATTCTACATGTTAATGAATGCTTTAGCATTAATCCATCTAATTAAAGCAATGTAAAACAAGCAAAAAAATCAATTTTGAATTCATCAGTCTGACAAATTTTAAACTCAGAACGTTTTTAAAACCAAGGTTGGAAAATTCGTCTACAAGTATGATTGACCTTAAACACAAGTTGCTTTGATCAATCTAATCACTGAGTATTTTATCGCTGTATTCAACGGAAACTAAGTTTATTGTTTGGTTGAAAACTACATAGTAGGTGAATATGAAAATTATACATTAAATACATCATTTACACATCGTCTTCACGTTGTTCCTTACATAATACATTTAACTACTCTCCGATTTCCTTCCTATTCTCTTCAATTCAATCTACTGCTGTCAACCATTCCACTTCCAACTGGTGTTACATACTATTTATATTTGTCAGAATAAGTAGCATACATCGCATAGTTACAAATTGCTTGGTAAGTTGATTAATGTCTAGAATCATTACACTAGTCCTATCCCTTCATACTTTTTAGGACATTCAATCTTATTTCACCTTTTTTTACTGCTTACTTTGTATAACTTTTTCCATCAACCTTGTCTGTTATTAGTGGAGTATCGTTTATTTTCCAAAAGTTTTGTATAGCTAACTTAATCCAGTATAGTGCTTTATACTTCCTTCAGCTTTTTGAACCTTCTGAGGTGTATACATCAATAGAACCAAACATAAATACCAATGAAGAGACTTGATTAAGTAAGTAATAAGTTAACGCTTATTACTTCTCTCTCTATAGGTCACTTCATCAATCATAAGTAGAGCGCAACTTGAAATACATGTCCATCTGCTCAGGTTAACGCACTCTATATCAGTACATCGAAAAACAGAGGAAGACAGAAATAGAGAGATAAAGAAACAAAAAATAAGCACAATGAAATAAACCTAACTGGAATAATAATAATAATAATATCATTGACATTGAAAACTAAGCATAAAGAATATTATTTATTGAGACAAAATAGAAATGAAATTAGTAAAGAGGTTTTTATAGAACACCATTGCGCATCAACGACCGCGCAATCGGGAATCAAACTCATAAACTTCGGCCTTGCAAACGAACAATTAACCACTACATCAATGAGTGGTATCCAGTGGTGTATAGTTCTCACTTCCATCAACTTATAATACTGTGTAATCTTACTTCATTGCCTGTCGTGTATCACTGTCTTACATCACATGTGTTTGAACTTTATTGATCATGACTGGAGGAATGACATCTCGAAGCTAACCACTAATGGTCACTTGGTTATTATTGTTGATCATCCTCTATTCCTTTAATATTGCATTTGATCTGTTTAATGATTGATTATTTTCTACTCCTCTCAAGTAACCTAAACTTCATGGGATTTAGACATGGTAGTTTATTCCCTTATATTGTAATATGATGAACCATTTTTCTAGTCAATTATTCCTCTTTGTTGGGTCTACTATGCGGGTTTGCCAATCTTCATCGTAATCGTTGGATCACCTTAAATCGCTTGTGTTCAGCAAATTTTGTAGTAAGAAGTTTCATAATTGAAGGTGATTGATTTATTACTCTAATTGTAAATATTTTCAAAGTACCTCAGCTGTAAAATTTGGGAAATAATTGTAATATTTTGTCTTATTTGTCTGGTTTTGGTTTTATCTAGAATAAATGTTAACTCTACTTGTGTTTTTAAAAGTTCTGCGGATTACTTTACTCCATCTAAATGCGGTCGAATATATTAAACACTACAAAAACTTGAAAGTTAAAAGATAATTATTGAGTGCATCTGAACAACTTCAACTGTTTTACAGAATAGATAAATTGAAATAAACTGTGGAATCCAATGTCAGCGTTTCATTCTGTTAGGGAACCGTCAGCTGGATGATAAGCAGGCGTTAATTAGTAAGGGATAATAATGATATGAAGTACAACCTATTATTATTCAATATCATTAATGTTGTATCTTGAGTAATAGTTGGCACGGACTTATCGAGGCTTGAGAATTTCTAGTCTATATCACCTACTGGTGACCTATTCCACGAATTTACACACAGATCGATTAACGACGACCGGGGTCGAAACGCTAGTTGGTCATCAAGCCTCTTTCTAGACCATATCAAATTTCACACTTTAAGCACAATTGTACTACAAGTGATAGAGAGCGAAGCTAACAATACACAATCAATTGGCAATAATTAAGAAATAGTAAAATATATAACAACAGTTAATAG